CACGTATATTATAAATACTTAATAATTAGTATTAGTATTTCGATGAATAATAATTAACAATACGTTTTTGTTCATTTTTTTTAGGCTAATAACATTCCTGTAAAAGAAATTTCTTGTGGTAATATACCTTTTCATAGTCGTTACATCAAACCTGCTGTAACTAAGTCCGAAGAATACTTGAACCGAATATTACCACAAAAAAAATTTCGCAGCTCAAAATGGTTAACAACATCCGCTAACCACTATTCTAATTTATCTTTACCTTTATGTTCAAAATATTATACGAATTATTTATTATCTCCGGTACTATTCACAAAGGCAATAAGTTTGATTCCAAGTGATACAATGACAATAGAGATATCGCCTCAGAACATTCTTCAACACATTTTAAACAATTATTTGTGCTCTACAGTAACAAATGTAGCGTTATATGAAGGGCCCGAAGATGTTAATGGTGAGATATTTTTAGAATCAATCGGAAAACTTTATAACGCAGGATTGCAACCACAGATTGCAAATCTCTATCCGACAGTGGAATTTCCTGTAAGCCGCGGTACCCCAATGATTTCTTCTCTCATAAGGTATTCATATTCTACGTTTATGCACAAATGAATAAATCGTAGGAAGTTTTTAATCGATCCCCGCAGGGTTCCCCAATTCTCATCCATCACTACCCTTCTCCTCTCACTTAACTCTTTGGACCAACGGCTTAACATCTCTTCCCGAAAAACGGATAAATCGTAGGAGATAACAGAAAGAATCCCGCATATACTTATACTGTTCTACAATAGTACTAAAATAACACAATTTTGACTTTTGAAGGCTCATGTCGGATAATAAACTATCGGTTATTGTCAATCTTGCCTATTATAACTTTTGATCAGCATCGCATAAACTATCTATTTCCGAAGTTTCAGCCAATTTTATCGAAATCCACTGTCCTACAACAGCCTATTGAATTAACATCTTTATATACTGTCTAAATTTCCTTCACAGAACTAATAGCCGTTTAGCAAAAAACTGATTGGCAATTAACTGTCGGAACATAAGCGGGAGTATGCCATGTAACGTGTAACAACACGTTGCTTCATTCTTTGAATTATGATAAGGTTAATGATATGCTTAATAAAAAGTTATAATTTTACATTAATAATGAAATAGGTCTGAACAAAGAAATTTCCTGTAATCACTGTATATAGTACATAATAGTATATAGTATACAGTACATAACATGCATATTGTCTAATAAATAGCATCATTAGCATACTTTATAAAAAAATGGTTACGGGAACTTTACAAAGAAACTAAGTATATGCCAATTGTTTTATACCTATCACAAAGAATGAGAAATAAATTATAATATTTATAGGATCAGAAATCAAACATTACATCAATTTCGGAAACAAATAGACAACTAATTTATATATAATTTTCTTACATAATGAGTTTTAATAATGTTTATAGATGGGATCATACGGAAGATTTCTATGTATTTAAATACAATGAACAAGATATAATAGACAAAAGAGAAATAGTTGTCAACATTGATATAACTGATGAGACATTTGTATATTTAACGGGCCATGTTATTAACGAAAAAAATTTATTTCCGGCTACGGGATATCTTTTCCTTCTCTGGAACATGATTGCATCGTTGAGAAAGCACGATCATACCAATGTACCAGTTGTATTTGAGGACATTAATTTCATTCGTGCTACAGTACTATCACAACATAATGAAGTCGAATTAACTCTTTCGATCCAGGAAGGTAATATCATTACACAAAAATTTATTTCCTCATTTAAATATTAAATTTTAAGAAATATCTTTTCTTTCATGCTGTATTTAAAGTGCAGAAATTTTGATTAAGAATAACTAATAATAATAAAAGATACAGAATTTTTTTACGCATTAAGGGGCTTCCCTAGTGTGACATGGCCTAAAAATGAATAATTTTTAAAAGGAAAACGACAAGGCCAATTGATGAACAACTTTTCCCACATATTTTACTATATTTGAAGAGTGCATACAAATTTTTTCAAAATTTTATCTGTTATTAAAGCCCGTGCCAGCCATTTTTTTGGAGCACCGCGAAAAAAACGGTGATCACGATTGCAGCCGTTGTAGTTATCTGAAACAAAAAAGCAAAAGGATTCTTAATCTACTTGAGTGTGGCTATCGTCTAAATCAAAATCATAAAAAAAATATTGAAAATTTAAAAAATTATAGCTAAAAAACGTCTGCTAAAAAAGACGAAAATAATTATAATCGCTATAATTTTTTAAATTTTCAATATTTTTTCATGATTTTGATTCAGACGATAGCCACACTCAAGTAGATTAAGAATCCTTTTGCTTTTTTGTTTCAGATAACTACAACGGCTGCAATCGTGGTCACCGTTTTTTCGCGGCGCTCCAAAAAAATGGCTGGCACGAGCTTAATAATAACAGATATAAAATTTTGAAAAAATTTGTATGCACTCTTAAAATATAGTAAAATATGTGGGAAAAGTTGTTCATCAATTGGCTTTATCGTTTTCCTTTTAAAAATCATTCATTTTAGGCCCTGTCACACTAGGGAAGCTCCTTAACTTTTATAAGCTATCCATATTCTTGTCGACAGTTTCGCATTCGCTGAATTTATATGTTATGTTTATATAATATGTTATGTTTAAAAATTTTATATTCCTATCTCTCTAGGTAGCAACAGGTTCGAAATAATTGAAGGAGATAGTATTGTTGTTACTGGAATAGTACGAATTCCAACCAATATTGAAAATGAAAAGATATCTGCCAATCTGGCTGAATATGTCGATGATGAAGAAGAAATGAATAGAAAAGACATCTATAAAGAATTAAGACTTCGTGGTTATCAATACACCGGCGTATTTCGTGGATTAAAAAGCGCATCCGTTACAGGATCAAACGGTCATATCGCCTGGACATATAATTGGATAACATTTATGGATAGTATGTTACAAATGAAGATTTTAGGAAAAAATTTGAGAAGCCTTTTGGTTCCAACAAAAATCCGCAAGCTGACAATTGATCCAAAATATCACATGCAGTTAATGAAACGTTTTCAAGATTACCCAGTTGAAAAAAGACGTAAGTAACACAAGTATGATATAATACAACCAAAAGCAAATCAATTTCATGATCCGATAAATTAATTTCTTTTTACTGTGCTACATTGCAGAATTCTCTATTCGTCATTACAAGTCTCTAGACGTTGTAATATCCGGAGGAATAGAAATTTGTGGCATTGTGGCAACACCTATATTTCAACGACAAAAAACAGTTAACACCGTTCTTGAAGAATATAAATTTGTTGCTCATCGTGATTTAGAAACTATGTCGTTACAAGATGCAGTAAGAATGTCGGTGCATATTGCACTCGAATGTTACAATATGATAAATGTTAAAATTATCGAATTTGTCGATGACAGTGATAAAGTGACACCAGAAGATTTAAATTCTCCACTTGTTAGTAAAATCTTAAATGATTTACCGCAGATTCGACATCACACTAGACTCGTGACGACTCAAGAGAAATTCCCAAATATCTTTTTACCCGACAACATTTCTACAACGGAGATTACTAAGTTGTCGAAAGACGAGAATTGTTTAATGATCTTTGGTTTCGATATTTTGACAAAAAAAAGTAAGAAATTATATAAACAGTTGCTATCTTTGTTAATGCCGCAAGGTTTTCTACTGACCCTAGAGAAATCCGGTTCGGTCTACGATTATTCATGTCTGAAAATATATAATTTGGATATTATACTGGAGAAACAAGTAAATAAAAAGACGCTTTTATTATTAAGAAAAACGCAAAATATTGCAAGAAACCAGCGGATTGTACATGTGAACAATTACGAGTTTACGTGGATAGATAAACTGAAATCAATAATGAGTGTGCAAAACGAGACTAGTACAGATACAAGGATCATACTCGTCGCAGAAAAAGATTTCGAATGCGGGCTGCTCGGTCTTATTAATTGTTTGCGAAAAGAACCTGGAGGCGAAATAATTAGAAGCGTATTTATTCAAGATAACAAAGCGCCTGGTTTTTCCTTGCAAGAACCATTGTACATGAAGCAGTTGCAATTGGACCTACCCATCAACGTTATACGTTCCGGTAACATTTGGGGATCATACAGACATTTTCCATTACCATCGTTGGAACAAAAACTCGTACAAAGTGCTTGTGTTAAACAGCTGGTGCGTTAAAAAAATTTTATTATAAATTTTATTATTTATACAAAATTATCTTTTTAAAAAAATAAAAAAGGACGCCAAGTAGACGCGTCCTCCGCGCGTGTCTAGAGATTTGATATGCCTAATAAACTAGCGCGAATTTGTAGTTGCCAGTAAAATCAAATATAATTATTGTACCTACTTGCAATGTGTCTATATGCTCTATAATAAAGAGATCTGATGTGTAAAATAGTATAATAATAACAATGTTTTATTACGTTTTTCTTTTTTTATATTTTTAACTGTCGAACGCTTAATTTTAAAAATATATAGTTTATTAATTGAAATAAGTTGAATATGTTTCAATATTTTTGTTATTTATTTTTTATTTTCTTATAATTTATTATACTTATTAATTTATTAAATTTATATAATATATTTTTTTCTAAATGTAAAATTTGTTCTTAAAGATTTTTGAAAGTAATAATACTTAAATTTTGAAATAAATATTTATTTCTTATATTCATTATGTTTATAAAATGAATGCAAGAGGATATGATATAAATCACAATATAATTACAATGTATGTGTTTTAGTGCGCGTAGACTTGACGTAAGATACTACTGTGTCTCTTGATAAATAATTATTTATATTTATTTATAACAGGTACAAGGAGATTTGACTACTCTTTGCTGGATGCAATACCATATACCTTCTCACATTAAGCGTGAAGATCTCGTTAATGTAATTTATGCGCCTCTAAATTTTAAAGATATTATGTTGGCTACTGGTAAAATCCAAACTATGGCATTATATTTTAACAATTCATCTGATTCACTCGGCTTGGAATATGTTGGATTTGATATACATGGACAGAGATTAATGGGAATGTCCTTATATGGGTAAAATGATGAATTTCTCTATCAATATTCACTTAATTAAAAAAACTATTCATATTTACTAGTATAAATTTAATATTTAATTAAAAATGTATCAGATTAAATTTTATTTATGTGAAAAGTACGTCAGATATAACACAAAATTATATGCTTCTAATGCTTCTAAAAATTGTTATGTTTAGAGGAATAACGAACATATGCGTGCCCGATAAATATCTTAGTTGGAAAGTACCCGACGAATGGACAATGGAAGACGCAGCAACGGTTCCGTGTGTGTACAGCACGTGCTACTATGCCTTGTATGTAAAGGGTAAAATGAAAAAAGAAGATAAAGTCTTAATCCATTCTGGTACTGGAGGCATTGGCCAAGCTGCGATCCATTTTGCGCTTCACGAAGGTTGCGAAGTGTTTACGACAGTTGGAACTGTTGAGAAACGGCAATTTATAAGAGAAACGTTTTCCTCTATTCCCGAAGATCATATCGGAAACTCTCGGGATACAAGCTTTGAACAAATGATTATGCAGCGTACAGGAGGTCGTGGGGTGGATATCGTGTTAAATTCCTTAGCCGAAGAGAAATTGCAAGCATCTGTTCGCTGCTTAGCCAATGGTGGCCGTTTTCTAGAGATTGGAAAATTTGATATGGTTTCTAATAATCCGTTGGATACATCTGCCTTCTCTAAAGGCATCAGTTTCTATGCTATTTTATTAGACAGATTCTTTTTTGAACACTCAGAACGAAAAATAAAAGTGTGGAAAGGAATCGGAGAAAGTTTAGAAAAAGGCATTATTAAACCGCTAAGTAGAACAGTCTTCAAAAGAAATGAGGTAGAAGCTGCATTTAGATATATGGCCACTGGAAAACATATTGGCAAAGTACGATCATTTTAAGATATAGAAATAATTAATTATATTAATTATTAAGTCATGTGGAACATTCTTTTAATTTAATTAATCGTAAAGATAGTAACAAATGTTTAGTTAAATTAAATTTGCTAAATTATGATTTATTGACTATTTTTTTTGGAGATATTATTGACAAAATTATGTTTACATTAATATAATTTGCATTAATGAGTAACGTTTCGACATCCTTTATTATTATTAAAGAGTAACGTAGTTTTGTTCGCTCCTGTCTAAATTATAAATAAATGTTATTCCTTGTAATAACAAAATTAAATCATAAAATGCAATTAAAATTAATAATAAAATACAAAATAATATTAATATCTAAGAAAAGAAAAGATAAAACTTTTGTTTTATTATGTTTTGCTTTATAATAATATTGTATTTTAATTAACTGATTATTTATAGATAATAATAAAAGTTCAGGAAGAAAATGAGCCTTTGGATGCTCCTCTACTTGTTCACCCGCAATATTATTGTTTGGAACATAAATGTTATGTCATTTTGGGTGGACTAGGCGGTTTTGGTTTAGAATTAGCAAACTGGTTGACTCTTCGAGGTGCAAAAAATCTGGTTTTGACATCACGAACCGGGATTAGAACAGGTTATCAGCAATCAAGAGTAAAGCTATGGCAATCTTACGGCGTAAATGTACAGATAGTTACAATCGATGATAATTTGAAACATGAAGATTGTGAATCTATATTAAAAATTGCTGAGGAAAGAGCACCAGTGGACGCTATATTTAATCTTGCAGTTGTTTTAAAAGATTGTATATTTCAAAATCAATCACCGCATACGTTCGAGGATTCATTCAAATCAAAAGCATGGATGACGAAGAAAATGGATGAATTGTCGAGAATAATCTGTCCACAACTTCGACATTTTGTCGTTTTTTCCTCCGTATCATGTGGAAGAGGAAACGCAAGTCAGACAAATTATGGGATGGCTAATTCCGTAATGGAGAGAATCTGTGAAAAGAGGATGGAAGAAGGATTACATGGTTTAGCGATACAGTGGGGTGCTATTGGTGATGTCGGACTCGTAGCAGATATGCAAGAAGAAAATAAGGAATTGGTTATTGGAGGTACATTGCAACAACGAATATCTTCCTGTTTGGATACATTAGAAGTATTCTTGCTTAAAGACCACCCTGTCGTAAGCAGTATGGTTGTTGCTGAAAAAGGTGCAAATATCAGTGGATCAATGAATATTTATGAAACAATTGTTCATATCATGGGTAAGCAATTTTTTAAGCAGCTAATATAATAAAAATCCCTGAAGTCTTTATAGAAAGTATATCACTAGTATACTATTTTAAAAGATATTACACAGAATAACATAAAATTTATTTTTAATTTTTAATTCAATTTGAAATAGGATTGAAAAATGTAAACACAATAGCACAAAACATATCTCTGGCCGAGGTGGGTATGGATTCAATGATGGCAGTAGAAATTAAGCAGACATTAGAAAGAGAGTTCGATGTCTTTTTGACGGCGCAAGATATCCGAAATCTTACTTTCGCTAAACTCAAACAAATGACAGATACAGTCGAGCTGAGAACAACGGACGACATGAATAAAATTGATACAAATAATAAGGGAGGTTTGGACATGCTGATTCGAAAAATAACCAACTCAGACTTTGTTCCAAATATTCTTGTAGAACTTGCTACAAAAAAGGAGGTTGATGGGGACAATGTATTTCTCATACCAGGAATCGAAGGATCTTTAAGCGTATATAAATCAATAGCATCAAGAATTAAATCTTCAACAACGTGTTTGCAACATAATACACTTAATATTCAAAGTTCAGGTCAAAGTTGTTCAGTGATGAAATTAGCCGCTTATTTACTGCCTGTACGAAGTCGTAAATTATTTAAACTTTTTATTTTAATTTTCATTATTTAATAATTAATTTATATGTATATACATAGATACATATAAGTAATATCTAACAACTACAAGTCTTTTATATACAACATTCATATTTATTTTCTTAGCACATATTAAAGAAAATGAAAGATCAGAAGGAATTTTTAATAGTGGGTTATTCATTTGGATCCTTAATTGCCATCGAATTAGCAAGATTATTGGAAGCTAATGATTTCTCAGGACGGTTAATACTGATAGATGGAGCCCCTGATCAAATGAAATTTTGGCTTAATCAATATTATTCCTGCATTTCGCAACATGAATTACAAAATATGATATTACTTTCTGTGTTGGAAATGTACACTGCAGTTAACCAGAAAATGGTTAGTAAATTATGGAAAATGTACTTTGAGTTTTTATTGCAAAATATATTATATATATGATCTTATTTTATTTAAATTTATATAAGGTTAAATAAATTTAAATCCCGGTAAAAAAATTTTTATATAAAAACATATCTAAATATATATAATCATATAATGTTATATAAAATGTTACATAAAATATGTCCATATATGTCCATACTATGTTTTTCTTTCTCTTGTATAATCTCTGTTCGTATGTACAAAAAAAATAATAAGAAAAAAAATTAGAAAATAATTAAAAGGATAATTTTTGCATTGCTTTTTACAAAAAAATAAAATAAGTGCAAATGTGAAAAATTTGCTCATATATAATCATATTTTATATACACTATTATTAAATTTATATATGATTATATATAATTATATATAGGCAAATAAATGAACAATGCAAAAACAATTAAAAAACAATGCAAAAATTAGCCTTTTAATTATTTTCTAATTCTTTTTCTTATTATTTTTCTTGTATGTACATACGAACAGAGATTATACAAGAGAAAAAATAACATATATAGACACACGTGGACATATATGGACATATTTTATATAATATTTTATATAATATTATATGATTATACATATATATTTAATGTTTTTATATAAAAAATTTTTTACCGGGATAAAATGAGATCATACACATAAAATAACTTATAACATCATAATATAAATATTATATTCTTTAAGATTTCATATACTGTGTTGTGTGTGTGTGTGTGTGTGTGTGTGTAAAATATATTAGACTACAGATTATACCGTTGAATAAGCAAAATTAATAATAAATTTGCAACGATTGTAATGTTTTTTATTATATCCAAAGACGTATAAAAATGATAATTAAATAATAGCAATAATTTTAGAAATAGAGAACATAATAAACGAGTATTAATGATTATGGAAGGAGTTTTAGAAATTAGTAATGAAAAAAACAAAAATATCGAAAAATTTTGCCAACATTTAGAAAATTGTACTATTTCATATTGCAGTGTTTTTAGTTTAGCATGTTTCTCATTAATTGCATAAAATGCTAATATATTGTTATTTGTAGCTTGTTTTAGAGCTGGATAAATGTAACACATGGGAAGAGAAATTAGAAATATTCCACGCTTACTTTCCGAAAGAATCAAATGCATT